AGCTGCTGGAGAGGATGTGGGGAAAAAGGGACACTAACCCACTGTTGGTGGGAATGCAAACTGGTTAAGCCACTATGGAAGTCAGTCTGGAGATTCCTCAGAAACCTGAATATAACCCTACCATTCAACCCAGCCATACCACTCCTTGGAATTTACCCAAAGGAATTTAAATTGGCAAACAAAAAAGCAGTCTGCACATTAATGTTTATTGCAGCTCAATTCACAATAGCTAAGACCTGGAACCAACCCAAATGCCCATCAACAGTAGACTGGATAAAGAAATTATGGGACACGTACTCTATAGAATACCATACCGCAGTCAAAAACAACGAAACCCAGTCATTTGCAACAAGATGGAGGAATTTGGAAAACATCATTCTGAGTGAATTAAGGCCGTCTCAAAGGGACAAATATCATATGTTCTCCCTGTTCGGTGACAACTAACTGAGCACCAAAGGGGAAACTTGTTGAAGTGAAATGGACACTATGAGAAACAGTGACTTGATATCAGCCCTTTTTCTGACTGTTGATGTACAATGTAATACTTTATCCATTTTAGTATTTTTTTTTGTTCAAGTACCATTGGTTGAACTCTGTAATTAACACACAATTATTCTTAGGTGTTTAAATTTTAACTGAAAAGTGATCCCTGTTAGGAATTTGGAAATCATTATGTTGAGTGAAATAAGCCAATCCCAAAGGGACAAATACCACTTGTTCTCCTTGATAGGTGACAACTAACTGAGCACCAAAAAGGAAACCTGTTAAAGTGAAATGAACACTATGAGAAACGCTGACTTGATCAGCCCTCACCCTGATTGTTGATGAACAGCTTAATATGTTATCCCTCTTAGTATTTTTGTTTGTTTGTTTGTTCTACTTAATACTTTTGGTTGAATACTGTAATCAATACACAATTCTTCTTAAGTGCTGAAACTTAACTGAAAAGTGATTGCTGTTAAACATAAGAGTGGGAATAAGAGAGGGAAGAGATGTGCAATTCGGGACAGTAGAGTTAGAAACATACCAGGGGATTCGAATTCAATGCCATCGAGGTGGCATGTACCAATGCCATCTCACTAGTCCCAGTGATCAATTTCTGTTCACAATTGATTGTAATGATAGGACTAAGAACCAAAGGGATCACATAAACAAGAATAGTGTCTGCAAATACTAGCTGATAGAATAAAAAAGGGAGAGAATGATCCAACATGGGAAGTGAGATACAAAGCAGACCCATAGAATGGCAAATGCCCTAACAGCACTCTGGCCTCAGAATCAGCCCTTAAGGCATGCAGATCCAGCTGAAATGCCCATGAGAGTATTTCAGGCATGGAAAGCCAAGAGACTCTGGGGGAAAAAAAAAAAAACTAAATGAAAGATCTCCACGAGTGAGATCACAGTGGAAAGAATGGGTCATCAGAGAACGAGGTACCTTTCTCTGAAGGGAGGAGAGAACTTCCACTTTGACCATGGCCTTGTCTAAAAATGATCAGAGTCAGTAAACTCAGGGGGCTTCCATAGCCTTGGCAACTCATGACAAGAGCCTAGGGTGATTACTGATGCCATAAACAAGAGTGTCAATTTGTTAAGTCAACAACAGGAGTCACTGTGCACTTACTCCTCATGTAGGATCTTTGTCCTTAGTGTGCTGTACATTGAGATTTAATGCTATAACTAGTACTCAAACAGTCTTTTTCACTTTATGTTTCTGTGTGGGAGCAAACTGTTGAAATCTTTACTTAATGTATGCTAAACTGATCTTCTGTATATAAAGAAAATCGAAAATGAATCTTGATGTGAATGGAAGGGGAGAGGGAGTGGATAAGGGGAGGGTTGCGGGTTGGAGGGACGTTATGGGGGGAAGCCACTGTAATCAATATTCTGTACTTTGAAAATTTATATTCATTAAATAAAAGTTAAAAAAAAGTTTTCTATGTAAGAATAATTCTCAACCTGTCCTCCCTTTTCCCCTGGGGTCACTAATAACAATGGGCCATTTCCTATTCTCTTTGAGTCACTAAGGAAGGGAAAGACCAGGTGGGATTGCTGGAATAACCTAACACAATTCTTCCCCACCACTGGGAGAGGGAAGACCAAACATTTATTGCTAAAGCAATATTTTTAACTCTTTTTAGATCTATGTTACTATGGGTGGTTACTTTGTATGATTTTTAGATCTATGTCATTAATATTACAAAGGTCATATCTTCCATTCTCCATTCCAGTTTTTTCTATCTTATCATTTATATAAAGCTATTCTCCAAGACTCTGATTCTTTCTTTTCTGTCTCTTGGCTCTGGCCATCCAGATCCACTCTTTAACTTCTACTTTAAGCTAGTTTCTCATGAGTTGTCTTTCCCTAACAAGAAAAATCTTTCTTCTGTTTATTTTCTAATCTACATTCCTCAGAATCTTCAAGATTCAGTTCATTTCTAACAGATTTTCTTCTTCCAATGTTTCTCCATTCAACTGCAGTGAATTGGCTTGTGAATTATTTTAATGTAATGAATATGTATATACCATCATAGAAACTTTTGTAGGCTTGTTAAGAGTGGATATGGTTTCTATTAGCATATAAATAATGATTTGCATGTACTGGTTGTTGTGTACATAATATTTTTAGATGACTTTCAAAAAATGTACTGAATGTGATAACCAAGGCATGAAGCAAGGAAAGCAAAATAGCTGTAAGTGATATGGTTAAGAAAAAGGGCTAAGCCTTGCTTGCCTTCAACCTCCCTTTGACCCTTATCACTTTGCTGGATATAGGATACCTGAAAGAGACCACCAAAAGTTGGATAAGCAGAATTCAAAAACCACCGGTCTAGACTCATTTCTTGCATAATACAGAATTTCTTAACTCTATACCATGGCAGATCAGGTGATGTCTAACTAATAGATTCCTGCAGCAGAAAATCGTTAGTTAACAAGCAGCCTCACCTGAGACTATCCAACTCAAATAGAATATGCAGCCAGAGTTTATGTTCGGGTAGGGATTAGGTTAGATTTATGTTGATAGATAAGAAATAGATGCTTTCCTCTCAGTTCTAAAGATTTCAGACTTCTCAGGATAATAACATTAAAATGATGCCTCGGCTTATATTGATATCATTTTTTATTAATGGATGAATTGAAAGCATCAAATTACTTTTTTAAAGTATTGATTTAACTCTTCACTGTCAACATGAACACTCTTATTTCCTGAACACATACAGCCTTTCGACATTCAAATCATTAAGAAAATAAAAGGAAAATAAGTATAAGAACGGCAGAGTAGGAAGCAACAAATATCATAAAGCTGAAAATGCAAATGGGGAGGCACATTGTAAAAATGAGAAGAGGTAATAGATGTTATATTGTTATTCATAAAAAACAAGAAAATGCTTATTGACAACACAGAAGTGAAAATGTGTTAATTTACCAAAGTACCTGAATATTGTCGAGTAAAAATATTCATTAACTCCTCTATTACAAAAATAAGTGAGCTAGAGGTTGTTATTTAGCGTTTACAATGGATATACACATGTTTCCCAAAGTCTCACAGCTATTAAGTTTCAGAGCTGCTATTTGAACTCATCTTCTTTAGCTCTGTATTCATATTTTCTTAAAGTATGCTGCAGGGCAAAAATAATTGAAAACAAATAAATTTTCAAAAACAGGGATTTGGGGGCTAGCTTTGTGGTGCAGTGGGTTAAGCCACCACCTTCAATGCCCATATCACATATGAGCAATGATTGGAGTCCTGGCTGCTCCACTTCTGATCTGGCTCCTAGATAATGTGCCTGAGAAAACAGCTGAAGATGGCCAAGTTCTTGGGCCCCTGCCACCCAAGTGGGAGACCTGGATGGAATCCCAGGCTCCTGGCTTTGGCCTGCCCCAACCCTATCAATTGTTGCCATCTGGGGAGTGAACCAGCTGGGGGATGATCTCTGTCTCTCACTTTCTTCTCTCTCTCTCTCTCTCTCCCCTCCCTAACTACTCCCTTCTCTCTGTCATGCTACCTTTCTAATAAATCTTTATTTAAAAATAATTTTAAGTTTTGTCTATTAACCTAGTATTAAAAGCACAATACCTACACATTTCTTAGTTCACTTAAACCTTGAACATATCACTATGGTTCAGTGAGAATGTATTTGAAGATTTATAACCTGCCAAAAAGCTGACCTCTCAGTTTTGAAGTACAGTGGTTCCACTTTACCTCAGGTGGGGGTGTATGTTCTAACACCCCAGTGGATGCCTGAAGCCACATCTGCTACTAGACCCTATGTAGACTATGTTGTGATTGCTTTATTTACATACCTGTGAAAAAGTTTATTTTTAACTAAAAGGTAAGAGGTTAGCACTAAATATATTAATAAAATAGAACAACTATAATAATATATTGAAATTAGATTTTATAAATATCTCCTCTAAATATCTTATTATTTTCACCTCTTTTATGATGATGATATAAGGTGATGTGATGCTTGTATGATGAGATGAAGCAAGGTAACATTGCATTAGGCTGCTTCACTGGGGTTGCTGCAACCCAAGCATTGACAGTTTAGCTGACAATGTAAACGGCTACTAAATGATTAACAGGCAGGCAGCATTCAGAGCAGATCCAATGAACAAAGGGTGGTTTATGTCCTAGGTAAAATGGATTGGGATGGTGAGAGATTTCATCACCTGACTTTGGAAATCACACAATTAAAAACATATACAGTTTTTTTTTTTCCTATCTGGGATTTCCTATTCAATTTTTCTATTCAGGACCATAGTTAACTGCAGTTGGTGAAACCAAGGAAAACAAAACCAAAAGATATGGGATGGGGTGGGGGAACTCCCGTAATGACTTTGGCTGGTAGAATTTATGTTTCCTTCTTCAGAAGTACATAAATTACTCATATGTGTTGTATTTGCTCTCGTGAAGTAGTCTGCATGGGACCATGATTTCAGGAAAAGTATTCTTTTTGCTTTATTTTGTTCACCATTTTTCTCTTCTTCTTTTCCTATAGGCATGTTCATATTTCACTTCTAATGCTTTGCCTTTGAAGATTACATTCATCAATGCTAATCCAATGGGCAAAAACATCAGCATTATTTTTAAGGTATAGTAGTCCTCTGAAAACATTCGATTGATTCCATAAACAGAATTATTGATTTATTACTCGCGAAAAGAAATGATTACAGCTATTTTCCTCTGGCAACAATATAGAGGTTTCCCAATTAGAGTCTGCCTTTTTACAGAATTACGCTACATGCCAAACTCTGATTGGCAATAAATCAAAAGTTACTGGCTGAAAGCCAGGAAACCTTTGGTCCAAAATTTAGTAGAATGTGGTTTAATATATGCAATTATATGATCCCTTTGGAGTAGCACGCATATTGGACTATGTGGTAATCTGCTGTAAGGAGAATCTACTTTTGTGCTAGATACTGAATAAAGATCAAAGCTAGCTGAAACTCAAATGCTATGTTAATTTAATGTAAAATTATTATCTGCAAGCGCTTGAGTATTTTGGTGATTTTGGTTATTTTCTTCTGTTTAAATAAAAATTAAATGTGGGCCATTTCATTCTTTATCACGAATCCCATGGGGGGAAAAGCAGAGTAAAAGGTAGTAACAGAGTTATAGATAGGTAGGAACAAGGGACTAATAAGGGGAGTAAGGAAAGACTGCCAGTCATCCAGTCAGTCAGCCAGCCATGCAACAAGGTCGAGGAATGAATTTTTGGTAGGTTTTTTTTTTTTTATTTTTATTCTGATTAGCTTACCCATACTTTCGCTGTGGCCCGTGAAATCTCAAGCTAATGGTCCCAGGACAATGTATTTTTGAAGAAGAAAAAAAAATCATGAAAGTTCATCTTGGCAGGAGTTTCTGCATACAATTTAGAAAGCATTTTCAAAACAAACTGCTGATTTGCTTAAAAAAATAGTGCTCGTGGTACTGTGGCCTGGTGGTTAAAGCCACTGCCTTCAGTGCCTGCATCCCATATGAGCGCTGGTTTGAGTCCTGGCTGATCAACTTCCAGTCCAGCTCCCTGCTAATATGCGTAGGAAAGCAGCAGAGGATAGTCCAGGTCCTTGGGCCCATACACCCACGTCGGACACCCAGATGATGCTCCTCGGCTCCTGGCTTTGCACTGGCTCTTACAGCCATTTGGGGAGTGAACCAGGTTCTCACTGCAGATCATGACTAAATGGATAGCACACCAAATGCTGCTGCTCTTAGAAAGAGATCTGTGTTGGCCGAGTCTGAAATTTGGATAAACATCCAGCCAGCCTTTTTCTAGACTGCGAATCCAAAATTTCACATAGATAATAAATTGAAAGATAATTATCAGGGAACAACATTGCAAGCCATGCTTCTAATCTGATAGCTGAATCTTCTGTAATCATTTAAAGGGAGGTTCTCCTTCTCTATGACCTTCTATCAAAAACACAAAGTACTTGCATTGCTAATAAAAGACCTGAAACCACTCTAAGTGAGGCTGGATATTTATCGAAGGAAAGAAAGGACATATACTGTATTTGAATGTTTTTTAATGGAATTCAAGGAGAAACTGGGAGTCTGTAATTTTGTTTTTAACAGGCAGGCGATGATCTTCGTCAGGATATGCTGGTGCTGCAGATTATTCAGGTGATGGACAACATTTGGCTGCAGGAGGGCTTGGATATGCAAATGATCATTTATAGATGTCTATCCACAGGAAAAGGCCAAGGTCAGTACAGATGAGAAAGTGGTTGACGTCCATTATTTATCTCAAACGTTCACGGGTAATCTGCCTCAAATTTTTCTACAGCTTTATAGACTACAAATGTCATGATCCAAAGAGATACACAGGTTCTTAACAAAGGATCATTTTCAAAAATGATATGCAATATAATTTATATAAATCACCCTGTGTTTTTAGATATTAATTAGAACCTATACAATCAAAATGTTAAGTTTGTCATGTTCTTTTGTGTTTTTTTTTTTAAAGATTGATTTATTTGACCGAGTTAGAGAGAATCTTCCATCCACTGGTTCACTCCCCAAATGACCAGAAGGCAAAAAACCAGGAGACCAGAACTCCATCCAGATCTCCCACATTGTGTTATCTTCTGCTGCTTTCCCAGCTCATTAGCAGGGAGCTAGATGATCTGAAGTAGAGCAGCCAGACTGGAACCAGTGTCCATATGGGGTGCTTGCATTGCAAGCAGTGGCTTTCCCCGCCATGCCACAATACCGGTCCCCCTTTTGTGGTTCTTTAAGAGTTAATTTCATTAATAACTAACTTGTATGCATGTGTTTTCATTTTTTCAGAGACTATAGATTCAATTCAAATTACAGTGGAGTTGCATCCCAATTAATCCACCACAAATTGAAAATACAGTAATTACAAAATGTGTTTAGCACATCTAGCCCAATTCTTACAGCTTAGCGTCACGGTGTGCCCATCATAGCTACAAGCATAGTGAGAGCTGCAGATGACTGACACTGCTGGAAGCAGCAGTAAGTGTTATGCATACGTCTGTAGCCCAGGAAAATTTCAAAACTCAAGTGCACTTTTAAAACTAGTTGTTGTTATTTTGAGATGACATATTTTTAACTTACATTATAGTCAAATGTTTATAGGCTCCAGTAAACAAAGGGTTCAAAACATAAAAAGTAAAAAGACCATAGACCAGCAGGAAAATAAGCAAGGGCTATCCACAATAATCAAAGGAAAAGATCATCAACTTTAGTTTTAATAATTTTGTGACTTTTTAAAATTTATATAAGTACAGTAGTATGTAATTCCTATCAGTTTGTTTCGCAAACATTGAAAACACTGAGAAAAATTTTGTCAAGTGCTTTTGCATCAGTATAAACCTAGAAAACTCAAGTCACACTGTGGTAAGTCAGGGCCTGTCTCTATAAAAACAAACAAAAACCCCTACTCATTCAAAAAATATCAATTGTTGTCCATTAATACAAATGTATACATGTTTAAGTGTTTCAAAGAGTTCTGAAAGTTCTAAATACATTGTAACTCTGCAGGTGATTTCTAAAAGACTTTAATAGAATATAAATTGTCCATGGTGTGTATACATGCAAATTTTGAATACTCTTTTTTACTTTGAAAGAGCCAAGAAAATATGGAAATATAATTTTGCACATTTCTAATGAAAAAATGCTGATCATCTACTCAAATTGCTACTAAAGCATCAGAGGTAAAAGTTGTACCTAGTTAAAAATCCTGCAAAATTGAAGAAACAATTCCTAAGATAGGTTATCATCATTTTTATATGTGGTTATTGCTACTTGGAAACTCATTAAATTAAGGTAACATTTATGTAGATACATGTGTAAACAAAGGGATAAAATTACAGAACTAGAAAAGGGACCTAGATTATGTAGTTTCCTCTGTTGTTTTTTTTTTTTTTTCCCTTTAATTCAGGCAGAGCTAACACTTAAACCTGTCATCACAAATGAGCTGTCATGACCTGGTTCGTTGGTTTCTATTCCACCTGCATACTCAGTCCTAGAGCTGTGACTTTTAAAGATTTTAGAAGCAGAACATGGATGTACCTCCTAGATAACTTAGCTTGATTTTTGATACCTCAGAATAATGCCATTATAATACACCAACTGTTTTAATTCTGATAGGAGGACTCTTGCATCCATATCAAGTGCCCCACCCCTTAACCCTTTCTAAAGCTCTGGTTCCAGTGTTGGCATTGGGCTTATTATATCATACTACCCGGTTTGAGTCCTAACTACTTGGTTTCTGCTCCAGCTGCCTGCTAGTATGCATCCTGGGAGGCAGTAAGAGCCTGGCTCCAACACTTGGTCCCCTGCCACCCAGTTTCAGGATCCTGCCTTTGACTTAATCTAGCTCCAGCTGTTGCAGGCTGGAACCAGCCAATGGAAAATTTCACTCTTTTTTTAACTTTCAAGTAAAATGAAAAAATATTAAACTCTGTTTCCTAAAAAAAGAAATCTTTTTACCATTGAGCTTGTTATTCCCTGACTTTTTAAGATTTATTTATTTATTTGAAATGCAGAGTTAAAGGGAGGCAGAGAGAAAGAGATCTTCCATCTGCTGGTTCACTCCCCAGATGGCCACAACAGCTGGAGCTGTGCAGATCCGAAGCCAGCAGTCAGGAGTTAGGAGCTTTTTCCTGGTGTCCCACGTGGGTTAACGGGCTAAAGGAGTTGGGGAATCTTCTACTGCTTTCCCAGACCATACCAGAGAGCTCGATCAGAAGTGGAACAGCTGGGACTCAAACTGGTTCCCATATGGAATGCTGGCACTGCAGGCGATGGCTTTACTGGCTACACCACAGCGCTGGCCCTGTATTTCCTGACCTTTACTCCCTTATCTTACATAATGATCTAATTCTTTCATTTCCTAATATACTGGAAAAGTACAAGTAAAGCTAGATGAGCCAAGCTGATCTTTTTGCTATCACATGCATCACCTTTTCTTCAGAAATTGAATAAATCACTGACCCCATTGGAATCCTTTAATTCTATTTATACTCATAGAATGTAACTGAAGCAAAATCTTTTAAAATTAACAAAATGATTCAGCACAAATGACTACAGACTCGCCTTAAGATGTAGATGTCATAAGTCAAGCTATTTTCTCCCTCTATCTACCAACAATCTTTTATAGTTGTAGGATTTCAGAGGGCATTATCCTGACAAAATACTGCTTCAAGAAAAATACTTGCACAGATCATCAAAACAAATGTCCTTTTTAGGAGATTAGGTTGCATCTTTAATCAGGTTCCCAGGCTTCCAGAATATCTACTCTTCTTAAGAAATGTCGCAAGGAGAGATGGAGGTTTCTAAAATGGACTAAATAGGGTCGCTGCCCTTAAGGAGAATGGACTGCAGGAGCTAAGTTCAGAGGACTTGCTCATTATTGTTGATTATCATTCTTCTGACTAGACCATATGTGATGTCCCGGGAGTTCCGGGAGAAGCTAAGAGGACAAACATTCTTTAGGGTTCATTTTATCATTGGTTCTCCAGGACTCAGGACTCAGCACCATAAAAATTACTTAGGGGAATTGGAAGAGTAGTTAAAGTTGCCCCAATCTCGGCATGCTAGAACTCTCCACTGGAGGGCAAAAGGCTCAAGAATCAGTGACCATAAAAAGCTGCTCAGGTATTTTCCACACACCAGCTTGAAAGTCACTGCCTTACATAACTACTACCTAGAAAAGTTCCGTCCCTTAGAGCTGTGCTACTTAAGGTGGCATACAATGACCAGCAACATTGAAATCACCTGGGAGCTTGTTAGAACCGCTGACTATGGGTGGGAATTTCGTACAGCAGTTAATACATGACCAGAGAGACCTATATGCAATACTGCAATGTCTGGCTTTGAGTCCTTGCTCTACCTCTGATTCTGGCTTCCTCCTAAAGGCACCGTGGGAGGCAGCAGGTGATGGCTCAAGTACTTGGGTCCCCATCACACATGTTGAGAGACCTGGATTGAATTCTGGTCTCCTGGCTTTGGCCTAGCACACTCCTGCTCTTATGGGCATTGAAAAAGGTGCCCAGTAAATGAAAGATATCTCTCTCTCCCTCCATCTCTCCCATCTTCTTCCCCCCCTTCCCCCTCCCTTCTCTCTTTCTGTCTCTCCCTGCCTCCCTCCCCAAATTAACATTTAAAGCCAGAAGAAGGGCCTATTCTGTGGTGTGCTGAGTAAAGCCACTGCCTGCAGAGCTGGCATCCCATATGGGTACCAATTCAAGTTCTGATTGTACACCTTCCGGTTGCTCCACTTCTGATTAGGTTCCTTGCTAATGCTCCTGGGAAAGCAGCAGATGGTGTCCCAAGTGCATGGACTCCTACACTGATGTGGGAGACCTGGACAAAGCTCCTGGCTTCAACCTGGCCCAGTCCTTAGCTGTAGGCGGCCATTCTGAGACTGAACCAGTGATTCTCTGTCTCTCACTCTCCCCTCTCTGTAACTCTGCCTTTCAAATAAATAAATCTTTAAGCACAAAGAGAAATGCAGAATCTCAGGCTTTACCCACCCCAACCCTATTGAATCAGAACCTCTAATTTAACTAGATCCCTAGGTATTTCCATTTTGTATTGAAATTTGAGAATCGCTGCATTAGTTTGACTGTAACCATAGAACCACCCATCATTCAATGCTCACAGAATTGTTAGAAGTAGTTAAAGGTGCATAATATAAACTAATGTAAATATATATAATGTATGGTTTTAGTGAAATATATTGGGTTTTAGAACCAAATGGATCACAGAAACAAGAATAGTGTCTGCAAATACTAGCTGATAGAATAAAAAAGGGAGAGAATGATCCAACATGGGAAGTGAGATTCACAGCAGACCCATAGAATGGCAAATGTCCTAACAGCACTCTGGCCTCATAATCAGCCCTTAAGGCATGTGGATCTGGCTGAAATGCCCATGAAAGTACTTCAGGCATGGAAAGCCAAGACACTCTGGGGGAAAAAAAAAAAAAAACTAAATGAAAGATCTCCACGAATGAGATCCCAGTGGAAAGAATGGGTCATCAAAGAAGGAGGTACCTTTCTCTGAAGGGAGGAGAGAACTTCCACTTTGACCATGGCCTTGTATAAAAATGATCAGAGTCAGTGAACTCAGGGGGCTTCCATAGCCTTGGCAGCTCATGACAAGAGCCTAGGGTGATTACTGATGCCATAAACAAGAGTGTCAATTTGTTAAGTCAACAACAGGAGTCACTGTGCACTTACTCCTCATGTAGGATCTTTGTCCTTAGTGTGCTGTACATTGAGATTTAATGCTATAACTAGTACTCAAACAGTATTTTTCACTTTATGTTTCTGTGTGGGAGCAAACTGTTGAAATCTTTACTTAATGTATGCTAAACTGATCTTCTGTATATAAAGAGAAATGAAAATGAATCTTGATGTGAATGGAAGGGGAGAGGGAGTGGATAAGGGGAGGGTTGCGGGTTGGAGGGACATTATGGGGGGAAGCCATTGTAATGAATATTCTGTACTTTGGAGATTTATATTCACTAAATAAAAGTTAAAAAAAAAGATTTATTTGAAAGAGTTACAGAGGAGGAGAGGTCTCCCATCTGCTGGTTCACTCCCCAGTTGGCCACAATGACTGCAGCTGCGCCAATCCGAAGCCAGGAGCTAGGCACCTCTTCTGGGTGCAGGGGCCCAAGGACTTGGGCCATCCTCCACTGCTTTCCCAGACTATAGCAGAGAGCTGGATTGGAAGTGGAGCAGCCAGGACTCGAACTGGCACCCATATGGGATTCCGGCAGTGCAGGTGGCGGCTTTACCCACTAAGCCACAGTGCCAGCCCCATATTATAGTTATTGTAAATTAGGTACAAGAATTTCAGTAGTAATCAATGCAAAGCTTGTGATCTGTGGCTTGAAATTAAGCAAAAATGAACTCCTTGGATAAATGTGGTCCTTTTGTTTGTTAATAAAAATTTTGAAAGCTTCCATTCAGTCTTGTGTATCAAGGCAGGGATTATGTCCCTTTGCCAGAGGTTCCAATTGTAGTCTACTCGGAAGTACAGATAAGAGCTATTAATAATCAAATCTCAAAATGTCCATTTTACTCATATACATTACTTTTTGTACTCTGTATAATACCATAAATCAGGGAAAATATGATATTTGTCTTTTTGGGAATGGCTTATTTCACTTAGCATAATGGTCTCCAGCTGAACCGTTTTATTATGAAAGGATTTCTTTTCACAGCTGAGTACTATTCCTTAGTGTGTATATATATATACCACAATTTCTTGTTCCAGTCCTCAGTTGATAGACATCTGGGTGAATTTCATATCTTTGGCTATTGTGAATTGAGCTGCTATAAACATGAGTGAACAGATAACCCTTTCATATGCCGATTTCATTTCTTTTGGGTAAATTCTTAGTAGTGGGATGGCTGTGTCACATATGAGATCACTTTCAGATCTGAGGAATCTCCATACTATCTTCCATGATAGTTGTACTTGTAGTCTTAAAAATAGCATACTGCTTTCACAGCGATAGCCCTAATAACCTACTTGTTAATTAAGGCGTGGTGTGGGATGAGGTGTCAGTGAGACACTATGGAAGGTAATTTTCTTTTATGAAGTGTTAAATAGAGGAACTGGAAAAATAAGGAGTGAAAATTTTCCAGATTAGAAGCAGCAGTGACCTGCTGATCCTACATGCAATGCTTTACAGTGTGCTGTTTCCTTTAATGCACAGGAGAAGGCCTGGGCGAGAGTCATTCTATTGGGGAAGGAGGCCAAAGTGTTATGATACTAAAGATATGCCCAGAGCTCATCTCTGGGCTGTGAAGTTTCTTTCTGATTCAGAATTGTAGATAGCCAATCACAACTGGACTACTGGGTAGTTAGAGAGATGAAGGCTGCCAAATGGCCAAATTCAACACAGAGAAGAACTGTGTATCCCATTTTGATCTACCAAGTTGTTTATTTCATGGTCTATCTCAAAAGCATTCAAAGTAATCAACTTACAACATTTATAAATCTTCCCCATCTCTCTGTCTACATGGTTATCAGAGGTGTCCCTGGTCATTCTACGTGTCTTACCTTGCAACCCTTGTAATTGTGGGGACTAGAAATCAGAAACTCTAGTACCTCATTTCTCCCAATTTTATTTACAGAGCTGTACAGTGCAAGTTGTTTTGTGAGCACTAGTCCTAGGGCAATTTTAAGTGTTGAGTTTAATTGCTGTTCTGTATAGAAAAAAACTCTGAAGGTTTTAAAATATTTGTATTCCAGTAATCTTACAGCATAATGAATAAAAGCCCAGATGGACACATGGCTGGTAAGACAAAGGTCCTATTAAGTCAATCAATATCTGCAGCCTTTAACATTTATTATTATATTTTTTCTTTAGTATTGACGGAGAAAGGAGAAGCAGGTGTCTCTGTCGATGTTTACTGAACAGATATTCTATCCATGCCCAGAGATGTAGCATTTAACTGACACTTTTGTTAACCTGAAAAAATATATTTTTACTTATTTGAGAGACAAAGGGACAGTGAGAGAGAGGGAAGGAGGACTGGAAGACTCCCATCCTCTGCTACACCACAGCCAGAACTTAGAACCAGGAGCTCAATCTGAGTATCCTACCTGGGTGACAGGGACCCAACTACTTGAGCCATCATCTGCTGCCTCCCAGGGGGTACATGAGCAGGAAGCTGGGGTCAACAGCGAACTCAGGAGTGGAACTGAGGTACTTCAACAAAGGATTTGAGTATATTCATAGGCAATTAACCAGGCCAAATGCCTACCCCTGATCATTGATTTTTTTAAATATATTTGAATTGTTTGTTGTTCAGATTGTACTTGGTTCACCTAAGGCATAAATGGTGCAAAGGTGCTCCAGTGGTGTGATAATTGAGTCACTTGTCTTTGGTCTCCATGCAGTGTTTTTGAGATCATTTAATTGGCTCCCTACCATAGTTCTAGAAGAAAAAAAAAATGAAAGACTTTTCAGATAGATCTGTCCAAACACAACATGTAGTCTCAGTGCTCCTCACGATTTAGGGAGAATTAGAAGGAAGGCCATCTAGAAAAGTCTCCTTCATCTAAGTTTTAGAGAGAAGAAGAATCCAAATATCTCTGACATCTCCTGCCATTGCTACCTAGGTTAAAATATATTTCTTAAGTATTATTCCTGTGAGGAAAGAGTTGTGCCCATAGCCTCTTCTTTATCCACCAGGGCTGGTGCAGATGGTGTCTGACGCTGTCACCCTTGCCAAGATCCATCGCCACTCGGGACTGATGGGACCGCTGAAAGAAAACACAATCAAGAAGTGGTTCAGTCAGCACAACCCCATAAAGGCAGATTACGAAAAGGTTTGTCCTGCTGAAGCCGATTTTAAATAAGGATATGCTCTGGTTCATTATGTATTCTGATTTATGGAAAAGTAAATTAAGTACACCTTGAGTTCTATTTCACTCACACATCAGTCCAGTATTAATGGCCTAGTTTACTGGCACACTAGCTACATATAGGTTCCTATGTTTGCTTTTCCTTCCAGGTAAAATCCCTATCAGTATAAATTCTCATTGTTCGTTGTCTCTGTTAGAACTTCTCACACCAGAGCGGATGCCTCTTAAAACTATCTTTTCCAAACAACCTCCACCTCTTTGTATATAACCTTCTGTTTATAGAAATAATTGTCCTTTGCAATAATCTTTTTGCCATAGTCTACAGTTGAAAGAACTATACTGCTTTATTGAATGTGAACATTTTTGTATCTGTTTGCTTCATTCTGGCATCTTCCCTACAGAATAGTTATGCAGGTTCTGTCCTGTACCTGGGCTCCTGGCTAAGATTAGCATGACTGGAGCCAGACTTTGTTCCCCTTACTTAGCCATGAACTGGTACAACAATTTTACCCAGAAGCGGAGGCCCCTGCATGCCAATTCACACAAAAAGTGAAATTAAGCCAATATTAAATTTGGCTGGAACTCCTGAGGACTGAAATTCCCTTGTGTTGGGATGCTCCTCGGTCCTGGCAACCTGAGATGATGGGTCACTCCGACTAAGAGTTCATAGTCATGAATTCATCTTTTCCATGTCTCTATGAGATCAGAGTGGAGCAAATCACAGCTTTTTACAGACCAAACAACAAAGAATTAGATGATATTACATTGAAACATACATTGTTATTCCCAAAATTATAACTTGAGCTTTGCTCAGATCTCTAGGGTTATGTTGTTTGAAGTGTTTCCACATACATTTGTTCTTCACAATCACCATGTGAAAGATATACTTCATCATCTTTATTTTGCAAGCAAAGAAAATCCAGACAAATTAAGTGATTTATTCAGGCTCTTGGGAAACCTGGAAATAAGTTTCCTGGCATGTCATCAGATGATACAGTAATTTCTACCTCACCACGTCAGCCACACCATTCTTGGAAACCCGTAACCTTGGTCTAATCAAACATGCATGATTGCACGATCAGGTTGATGAAAATGATATATCCCTGGGAGATTATTTTGAAAACAAAGAAGTAGTTATGGGAAGAAAAGTAACATAAGTAACAAGTTAATGATAATCTGCTCCCCCCCTACACACATAGGCATTCACTGATATATACTGTGCACTTGTGGACATCAGCTAGAGGACCTATTTGTAAGGATAAATGTAAAATGTTACAGATACCACAGTATGGTTTTTCTGTGTTCCAAAACTTCAATTTTTCAAAAATTGGTACTTTAAGTTTCTCTGGGAAGTAGGCAATATTGGTCTTTTTTTTTAAATATTTATTTATTAGAAAGTCAGAGTTACACAGAGAGAGAGAGATCTTCCATCCCTAATTGGCTGCAATGGCTGGAGCTGCACCAATCCAAAGCCAGGAGCCAGGATCCTCTTCCAGGTCTCCCACACAGATGCAGGGTCCCAAGGACTTGGGCCATCTTCCACTGTTATCCCAGGCCATAGCAGAGAGCTGGATCGGAAGAGGAGCAGCGAGGACTAGAACCAGCACCCATATGGGATACCAGTGCTTCAGGCTAGGGCGTTAACCCACTGTGCCACAGCGCTGACCCCAGCAATATTGGTCTTATATGATCATTTTTTCTTTTACATTGAAAAAAAATTATTCTATATTGTATATCTGAAGCATCAGAAACTCACACCAGGAATACTTTAATAAAACATGTTATCAGAGCTCTCTGATAAAAATAGCAAACAGCTCTTTCATTCAATTTCAGTGAAAAATAATGCTAAAGCATATTACTTTGTTTTTCTATAGCATGTCAAGAATGAGACACTTATCTGTACCCTTCTCGCCAGTGAGATGTAGACATTGTTCTTGATTATGTAATTTTTTTTTTTTACTTGTTACCATTACCTCTAACACCAATGTGTTTCCTCATTTTGTCTTTATTTTTGTGTTACTGGTTTTCAATCGACTAGGCATTGAAGAACTTTCTTTATTCCTGTGCTGGCTGGTGTGTGGTGACGTTTATCCTGGGAGTCTGTGATCGCCACAATGACAATATCATGCTGACAAAGTCAGGCCACATGTTTCATATTGACTTTGGAAAATTCCTAGGTCATGCACAAACATTTGGAGGCATCAAAAGGTCAGTGCACAAACAATGTTTATTATACTCATTAAGCAATGTCCTAACTAATAGGTAATGGCATAGAAACTGTACAGATGACTTGTTCCCCATATCTCAAGTCCTCCAAAGTAACAAACATAACTATATAAAGTTGAAGGAAGGATTTTTTCAGTAGATCATTAGGACAAATTGTGTTTCCTCAAATTATTACTGGACTAAATTGTGTTCTTCCCTCGCCTGAGAATACTGTAAAGAATGAAATTGCCCCTCCCCCCATTGGACACTAACTTCCATTCTGAACGGTTTCACGTGATATTTTATTTTCTGATCAACACTGAATGGACAATGAGGCATGTGTTGATGATTCAATAATGTGGTATAATGCCTTTATCAAACTGACACTTTGAAGTCCCCTTGTGGTTTTATGATATAGAGAACAAAGAGTTCATGGAAATGGAATTAGAAGGTATATTTACTGTGGTGCCAAAACCTTTTCAAATCCATGCACATATTTTTTTGATAATATGGGCTTTCCATGAACGTTTTGCAGTACGCTGTAGCACACTTTCAGCACTGAATTAGTCTTGAATCATTTCACATATATTTGGTGAGTACCCACCACCACTCAAAGATAGAACAGCAAACAAGACAAATACAAGCCTGATCTCTTGGTAATAGACATTATGGTAATAGTCATTAAATAAGTTAATAAGCAAATAAATGAGGTGAGAAAATGAGAGACTCGAAATTAAATCAGAGAAATGGGACAGAGAGTGACTGGGACAGGCATGGCATCCTAAAGAGATCTGGAAAAAAAGACAGTGAGTTGTGTATTGAGTGACTGCTTTGCGGAAACCTGTGAGAAGAGTATTCCATACCAGTTGTGAGCATGGAAATAAGTGGAATCTTTCAACCACAATAAGGAGGTGTGGGGTCTGAGATAAGGAGAGAAGGCAATAGGACGTAATGGTAACAGTAGAGGTCAGATTTGGAAGGGTACTGGGAGCATCGTATGGAAGGTTGCTGCGTTTTTATATTCCGGAGAAACCATTGCTTGATTTCATCAGATCACAAAAACCTCTCTTGATATCCTATATGGTAGAGATCTGTTAAGAGGCCACTGCAATAGTTCAGATAAGCCCTTAATGCAGAAACAATGAAAACTGACAAATTCAGAATATATTTGAGACAAGGTAATAGGACATGGTAGTTGATTAGACATTAGCCATAATGAATGATCTGGGGAGGAGTGCAGCCGGTTGGAGGAGAAAACAGGCAAGAGTAACTTTTAGGTTTTTTTGGTCTTAGCAAATGGATGAATACTTATATCATTTACTGAACCGTGAAAGACCAGTAGAAAAACAGATTGTTTTATTAAGGAAATCACACGTTGGAGATGAAAAGTTTCTTTAAAAAAATACTGAACATAAAACCAGAAGGAACACATTGATCCAAAGGCTAATTAGCCATTTATGATTAAAAACAGCCCCCCAGTAGAAAAGCAATGTCTGCACAACAGAATGTGATAGAATATATACCAGATGTCCATAATTAGGTAAACAAAGTACCAACATTATCTGTATAATATGATTTTATTCTTATGAACCAGTATCTGCAATTTGTAGAGCCACATGAACATCAACTAGAAATTTGGGGTAACCTTTGTTCATTCAATCCACCAGCTTCTGTGTTGTCCATGGGAGTGGTAGTTCTATAGAAAAGACTTTTTATCGAGACAAAGAATAAGCAACTAAACCATTCCTTAAGAATGGTAATAAAGATGTGCATCAAGGTCTACAGAGCAAGTACAGTCCATGTTTGTCTTGTTTGCTTGCTTATTGTGGCAGTAGCTATTGCTACTTACACAGTTTGGCAATTTTAAGTCTTCATGTGCAACTTGAAAGGTAAATAATATGCCCACATTGGACTTTACTTGTAATAGGTTCTTTTTTTTTTTTTAACTTTTATTTAATGAATATACGTTTCCAAAGTACGAATAATGGATTACTATGGCTTCCCCCCCATACCGTCCCTCCCACCCACAACCCTCCCCTTTCCCACTCCCTCTCCCCTTCCATTCACATCAAGATTCATTTTCGATTATCTTAATATACAGAAGATCAGCTTAGTATACATTAAGTAAGGATTTCAACAGTTTGCTCCCACACAGAAACATAAAGTGAAAAATAATAGATGATTTTTTTTAATGATGATGAAATCAGATCAGACCTATTGTCATGTTTAATCCCAGTGAGAGTCAAGTTGGGAGTTGATAGTTTCTTTTCTATTCTTTTCTTTTCTGATTCTTTTATTTTTTGAGTATTTTTCACAGAAAGAGAAGATCAGTTTAGTATGCATTAAGTAAAGATTTCAACAGTTTGCACCCCCATAGAAACACAAAGTGAAATATATTATTTGAGTACTCGTTATAGCATTAAATCTCAATGTACAGCACATTAAGGACAGAGATCCTACATGAGGAGTAAGTGCACAGTGACTCCTGTTGTTGACTTTACCAATTGACACTCCTGTCTATGGCATCAGTAATCTCCCTATGCTCCAGTCATGAGTTTCCAAGGCTATGGAAGCCCCTTGAGTTCTCCAACTCTTATCTTGTTTAGACAAGGTCATAGTCAAAGTGGAGGTTCTCTCCTCCCTTCAGAGAAAGGTACCTCCTTCTTTGAAGACCTGTTCTTTCCACTGAGATCTCACTCACAGAGATCTTTTGCCAGAGTGTCTTGGCTTTCCATGCCTGAAATACTCTCATGGGCTTTTCAGCCAGATCCGAATGCCTTTAGGGCTGATTCTGAGGCCAGAGTGTTATTTAGGGCATCTGCCATTCTATGAGTCTGCTGAGTATCTCACTTCCCATGTTGGATCACTCTCCCCTTTATTTATTCTATCGGTTAGTGTTAGCAGGTACTAGACTTGCTTATGTGCTCCCTTTGACTCTTAGTCCTTTCATTATGATCAATTGCGAACTGAAATTGATCACTTGGACTAGTGAGATGGCCAATATTGTTTGCTGAGCTAATCTGCCAATAAACCAATAACAGGCAGACCCTTCATCATTCAATAGTTATTGATTGATGAATGAAAATGAAGTTTACACTGTCTTCCCTTGAGATTAATGGTATTGACCACCAGAGATTTAGGCCAACAGCAGTTCCCTAATATGTAAAAATTACTTGTATTGTTTCAAGGATATTATCTCTATCAGTGGCTCCTGTGAGCTTCATTGGCCCTCTTTCTTTATACCAAAACTTTTGCCTTGAGTGTACTTAATGGCTAAATTCTACGATGTCCATTTACTATATCTTTTGTGCATTGTATAAAGCATATAGTAATTTTCCTCTAAGGCTCTTTCAGCCATTTGTGCAGTTCCCTAAATGTTGTTTTCATGCGAGAGCTGACTTCTTCTACCCTAATTCCACTGATTGTTCTTACTGGTTGTCAAGCAGATAAAAAGCCCCCTTATGAATAAAGTCTCTCTATCCCTCTAGGATAAATGAATATTCTTATTTGCTCCACATTCATTACATTGTAGACCTGGTATTCAGAGCAAAGCCTGGCTTCACCTAGATTCTATGGATACAATTAAACATTAATAATCACTCATAAAACACAATGTCAGGTATATAATCATGCCTGAGGACCGCCTAATCCCCCATGGTCTAGTAAACCTCAAAATGCCCCAGAAATAACCAGTAATAGGATACAGTCACACTCCTTAATGTAAAATGCTGTATCTGCTGCGAGTGCAGAGTATATCTGTCCTAGATGCATACATTTCTCCTGTTCTTACCCTATATCTTAAAAACATCAAGAGGAGAAGCATTTTATAACTGTTATGGTTAATAAAGTGTTAACATATTAACTAACTTCACATCATCATTCTACTAAATCATATTCAACCTCATATAAAAAGTTTCCAAATGTTTGTGTGGGTTATGGATTGGCAAAAGAATATTACACACAAACATAAAACCCGTAAATTGCAAATTTACTTCTTACTTAGTCAAGGACAGGGAGCTTCATAATGGAAATCAGCAGGCCAGCAGAGCAGAAACAAATGCAATATACAGCAAAGTAGATTTTCCCTTGATCCTTGGCTTCCTTACAAATGACATTTTGAGAAAAAAAAAAAAAAACTTTCTCACCAGGCTGCTACCCTTTTGTACTCCTGCTTAATCACCATTCTAGAACATCTCACACTAGCCACCTGGTAATTCTGTTTAGGGACTGTTTACAAATGTTGGGGTCTCTTGACTCTTGGATTAAGTTGAGACAGCCGAGCTACACTTTCATTTGGATTCTACGCCCAAGTGTCCCTGAACAGTTGATCTGAATTTAGTTTTCCAGAAATCTGGAAAACCTGTCTCCATGTTTAACCTGCAGGGCTGCTATAATATTTCCACATTCTGGGGACCAAAAAAACATATCTCGGTTATGAATATGAAGAATTTCACATCCTATATAAATAAGATTTTAGCAGCAGATGAAATCAAATAGCAATTCTATCTGAATGTTAGCTAATTCTCAAAAAAATTAATCCTTTCTTGGAAACAATGAGAATTTCTCCAGTTTTCTGAAACCAGTGGCCTTTTTGGAAGTATTACTTATTATCCTTATTTCTTTTTATCTTTATCTTCAAATACAAAGATACAACTTAAAGTGCTTCAGAAGTTATGCATCCACGATTTCACTCAATTGCCCTGTAATAATTTCTATACAGTAATGTTTTCATTACATAAAAAATTATAGTAATGAACTCCAAATCAACAGTTGAGGATAGCTTTCTCTTATACAGCAGGAGAAATTAATGAAGGCTTTCTATAAAATGTTTTTATCGCTCTCCTAGCTCATTTTGCAAACTTTTATTTTAGACAACATTTCCAAAATAGATAATGGACTTTCACTTTAGTCATGCTGTCCCTGCATCGAGTCTTCCTTGTGGCTTTACTTCTATATCATTTTAGAAGTACTATGAACTGAAGTTTAGGAAAACTATCCTGGAG